ATTCGAAATTGAAAACTTGTTTCGGCATTTGAACCGAGAACATCAGATAAAAGCAATTTCTATATACAAAAAAAAAAAAAAAAAAAAAAAAAAAAGTAAATGAAATAAAATCAGTTTTCTGACATTTTAAGATCTTTACTCGTTGTAGCTTCTGTATATTGCTGTAAGCTCAACTTTTACTTTGCTGACACATTGAACTTCAACTTGGCTCTGGAGATTTATGAAACTCGTTTTGAAGATTTTCAAGTGAAATGATTTATGCCTTTCATTGCTGCCCAGCTACTACCGCTGCTGCTGCTGTTGTTGTTGTTGTTGTTACTGTTGCTTCTACTCTTTTTATTGTTGCTACGGACATTAAGCACTAACTAAACATCTGGCGCTTGACTAATTCGATGACGAATTGCCTGGCCCCCCAACCTGTTCTATCCCAGTTGCAGTCAGGAAATGACAGCTCGACACACGAGTTGGCAATTATGAACAGTGAAGAGAAAAAACCCAGAGTTTTGCGCAGCGCATCCGAAAACTTTCAATTAGAGCCCCACTGAGGTCATTGACCTGGCTTAGACATGTGCCACTCACCAGTTTCCCCGTTGCCCCCCATTTAGCTACTTACCAATCTCGCAGTAGAAGCCGCCCCAGCCATTGGGACAGGAGCAGCGGCCACTGCGCAAGCAGCGTCCATTGTTTTTACAGGGTATTAGCTTGCAAGTTTCCGAGTATTCACAACGATCGCCCTTGGCATAATCCGGACAGATGCAATGCGGCTGCAGCTTCTCGTCCAGCCAGCAGTGGCCGCCCGATTCGCAGGAATCGCCGCCACAAGCGGTGCCATCGCAGTCCCGAATGTTACGCGATTCTATAAATAAGTAAATGCATTACATTAAAATATTATGTCATTAAATTATATATATAAAGATGCTCTGCACACATTGCCAATAAGAAAAGTTGGTATCATGTTTCATTTATTTAAATTTACATGTAACTGCCAGTAGGAGGCGTGGCTGATAAAATTTTCAATCAATCAGTACATCAATTCAAGACCAGGGAAAAGCTCAAACCTGTGTGGCTGTCCGTCTGCCTTAGCGTGGCAAATCGAACAATCTGTATGTAATATTTAGATTCATTACTTAAGGTTTCATCTATTCAATTAACTCTTCAGTGGCGTGGAAAATCGAAAATAAACTGTATCTCCCACAGTTTGCATCTATAGTCGCATAATTACAGTAATCAATTTACTTAATACCTAATATTAAACTTCATATTTCATTTATAAATATTAAGCTTTTGATTTCAACAATAAAATAAAAATACTTTTGGTGGCGTAGCTAATGAACATAAAACACATCTCCAAGTTTTGGAGCTAGAGCTAAAATTAAGTTAATTTGCTGTAGACTTTTCTAGAGAAAAAGTCAAACTTCTTTTTGGTTGATTGGAAATGATTCATATATATTGCTCAAATGGGTTAGATCAGATAGCCGTTTATGAAAAAAATATATCATTTATATTTATTAAAATTAAAGCTCTTTTATATCTCGATTTATTTTGAAAAATTGCCGAAATTCCAATTGGAATTCAAATTCCATTTTTCTTTACTCTCAGTTTGCATAACTTTCCACAGACTCATTCGACTTGCATGTGCCCATTATTTATGGTTATTAATTTAATTGATATATATACAATATATACGCAAAGTATATTTATACTTTTCATTAATGGGAAATCTTTTATGCTGCGTGCTGAGACTGAGACTGGGAATGGGGCTGGGCTGGGGGGGCCATCAATTATTTGCTGTCATATTTTGTGCATTTGTGACTTACCCACAATATTCGTTTCGTTGAGAACAATGCGAGTGCCGCTGACGACGAGGCCGCGGACACAGCCACGGAATGGTATGGGAAAGCCGGAGATGGCATTGTACGGCAACTTGGAGAGATCCTTGAGGCCGCCAATGTAGAGCAGGGCATCCGGCTCGACCAGCACCTCGGCGGACGGAGCCAGGGCCGAGGAGGCGCTGCCCTCCACCCACAAGGTTAGCCAGCGACCGCGCTGGGCCATTTTGATCTTGTGCCACTCGCCGATGGCCAGCATCCGCACACTCCGGACAACGGTCACATGATTGCTGGGTCCCGAAATGCGGAATTCGACCACGCCACCTTGCAGCGACAGCGAAACGAATCCAATCTTCTTATCCTGATTGTTGTTCAGCGTGCCAAAGTAGAGGAGCAGACCACGCTCGGAGAGTGGACGTAATTGGAATTCGATGAAAAAGAACTGCACACGATGGTGCTCCTCGAACGTCTTGGAGCCCATCAGCGGCACCGGGGAGAAGCTGCGCTGCTTCTCCACCTCGTTGAGCAGCTTCATCACAAAGTGTGTGCTGGGCGTCGAGATGGGCTTGGGCGGCAGCAGCTTTTTGGTAAAGTTGCGATAGCTGACCATTTGGGAGCGCTTGGCGCCCAGCTTATCCCCGCCATCATAGAGATAGGGCCAACGCACGGCCAGATACGAACGGCGACCGGTCAGTGAGACGTCGCTAAGTGAACGTATTTCTACAACGAGAATAATCAGATATTATGTACACAATAAAACCATTATTGAATATACATATACACACACACATACATATGTACATATATCAATATTAAATCGTAAAAGTTATGCAACTACCGCTCACCTTCCTCACAATTCTTGCCCGTGCGTCCCACTGGACAGTCGCATTCGTAGCCATTCACCAGCGGCACACAAGTGGCCTCCTCGTAGCATTTGTTATTGAACGAGTCGCAGGGATTTGTGGCCTGGGCACAGAGCGGTCCATACCATCCCTCCTGGCAGATGCAACTGTGGCGGAAATATGAGAAAGGAAAAAATCATTAGATTTTATTTGAGACTGGTTAACTTTTAGTGGACTTTACTAACAGCCGTTGCTCGACAGCTGCCATAAATTTTAGACATCAATTGGCAAACCAATTCTGGCCCATAGGCAACTACAATACAGTCGGACTATAACCTTTAGCTAATTTATTTTATAAAACAATAACTTTGATAGGATTAAACAAGTAAGAAGGCTCCAGTCGAGACTGCTCGACTAGGAGATACCCTGAACCCTCCAAACTGATATTCTAATCATTCTGGACTTCTTTTATGCACACATACATACACATGCACGTATAAGCACGCGCTTTGCAAACTGCGCAGCTAGCAGCGGCTGCGCTTGGGCTGCACTGCAGTGTGGGCAATATAACGAGAATTTATTTGTTGAATAATTTCTTTTGTAGACATACGATCTTAATGAAACTTTTAGAGCGTAATCATATGGCTTAAATGTGTGTACATTTCAAAGCACAAGTCTCTAGTACTTGAAATGCGTTTTTTACAAATTGGGGGCGAAGGGGGCGTGGTATCCAAAATCTGTAAATTACAAAATCTTTGTATCCATTAACTTTATATACAACGCAAATTTGAAGTCTCCAGGTCTAAAAGTGTTCAAAATAAGCTGAAAAAACATTGTCGATTTTTCGATTATTCTCGATAAAAAAGTTATCGGATGAGTTATCGAAAAAATAAAGCAAACTTGTACTGCCTATGGTATACACGAGTATGCNTGCCAAATTTCAGCTCTCTAGCTCTTATATCTTCTGAGATCCTTTTGCTCATACGGACGGACGGACGGACGGACGGACGGACAGACGGACAGGGCTATATCGACTCAGCTCGTCGTCCTGATCAAGAATAYATATACTTTATGRGGTCTKYSATGATTCCTTCTGCCTGTTACATACTTTTCACAAAACCATTATACCCTGATTTCCCATTTTCAATGGGTTCAGGGTATAAAAAGGAGTTGATACGCCTTAAAGTCTTTTCGTGTTATATTATATTACCAACAAATTCTATAAAAAATGGTTTAACAGTTATGTAGAAACTTCGAAATCCTTTGATAAATATTCAATTTGGCTTGGATACATCCAAATGAATGTATGTGGGGAGCTAAATAATAAATATATGGTGTTATATGTATGGTATGTGTGTCTGTAATTCGCAGAGAGAGCTTCGTTGAATAGTAAAAATAGCGGGTTTCATTCCTATAGTTATTTGATTGAAAATAAGGATAAATCAATAAGTTTCCAAGATTCATTGAAAAAGGCTTAGTTTGATTTAGCAATACTTTTTTTTTAGTCTTATCACTTGAGTGGTTTGAATTCAGAAAGTGAAATACAAGTGAATTTAAATCACTACAAAAGGAAATCCTAAAAACTCATGCTAGAATCTTAACAATCAATCAAAATTTGAATATTCAACACTATGGAATATTGAATGCTCTACATTTGATATAAGTCTCGTTTCAGTTTTCTTTATAGTGAAGGCTTACCTTGGCATAGAAAAACATTTTTATCAAGACATGAAATCTTTTATGTCTTATATAATTTATTTGCCTATTCAAAAATATATCTTAATGTCTTCAAGGAAATAAGCTCACCCTACTAAAAAAAAAAAAGAAGCGAAACATATCTATTTATCCACTTTAAGATTGACTTACGTAAAGGTGGCGCCATGTTGTAGGCAGGCTCCGTCGTGCTGGCAGGCGTGCCTGTGGCACTCACGCGTGCCGCATTGTCCGACACCGCGTCCTCGGACACCGCGTGTCTCCTGCAGCGGCACCGTCACCTGGCCGGCCTTCAGCTGGACATCGTAGATGCAGCCCTGGAAGCCCGAGTGCAGCGGCAAATCGTGTGGCAGCGTATTGAAGTTGGCAATCTCATGGCCGCCCAGATAGAGTATGGGCAGGACGTCCATGCGGCTGACGCTGCCGGGCGAGCGGCCGGTGATATTGAACTTGCCATCCACCGAAAGCCAGGCCTGACGTCCGATGCGACCCACTTTGATCTCGTAGGGCACACGCGGTGCATCCAGCCGAAAGTCGATGGGCTTCTGTGTGAAGATGCGTCGCGGTCCAGCGCCCAGATTCCAGGTTAGCATTATGTAGCCCTGTATGAAGCTGACGGCCAGATGATCGCTCTTCTCGTCATGATAGCCAGACTGGCCCAGAAAGGCGAGCAGCGAGATCTGCGACATGGTCTGTGGCAAGATCTTAAAGCTCAGCTCCAGTGAATACTCCAGGGGCACGGGCACCGTGTAGGCCACAAATGAGGAGAGGCCGTTGACGCTACCCGAGAAGGAGGGCAGTGCCACCTCGAGATCTGTCAAGTAAAAAAGAAAAGAAAAAAAGAAAAAAAGAAAATGGAGTAAAGTAAATGAATTCAAAGGGGAATACGTTAAATGACACTCACTGTGCTCGCAGTAATGGCCGTGCTTGCCCAGCGGACAGAGGCAGAGGTAGCCGCTGCCCGGAAATTGGACACAGGTGCCACCATATTGACAGGGATTGTCCTCGCACACGGATATCTCACAGGTCGGGCCCATGTAGCCGGTGGGGCATTTGCATTTCCATTTCTCAGCCTTGTCACCGTTCTCGTCCAGCTCGTTCGATTCAATCTTGATGCAGGCGGCGCCATTGCGGCACGGGCTCGACAGGCAGGCCAGTGAGCCGCATTCCGTAATGCCAAAGCCATCCAGAGCGTCGCTGGGCCGAGGTGGGGGGAGAAATGGGTTAAAAGGCTGGTTAGCGTCATCTCCAATTTCATTACGCCGCTGCTAATTCGCATGTCAATTGTTCGAGTTCCGGCCTACAACTGTCACGCCCCCGTTTCCCACCCTCCTTCCTACTTCCGCTCCCTCGTACCCCTTTCAGTGGCGCCCACTGTTGCAAGCGTGGCGCCCCGCCAACAATTTATCTTCTTGTCCGTCCTGACCGGCTGTTGGTGAGCGCGTTTTAATGCGCTGACAAATGGCTTTCGCATTTCTCGACTCGTTCTCCTTCTTATACGACTATCTATACACAATCCCTCGTTTGCAAAGTGCTCAAATTGGTTTAATTCGTAATGTCCCCTTAACGTTGACATTTTGTCTTCCATCTATTTGCTGGATTAAACTGTCAAAGGGTTAACGCAGCTAATGCTTATCGATATTAATAATAATACAGAGAGTAAACATTCAATGCTAATGAATATATATATATACATAACGTTTGGGCATATAGATATTATGGGCTATCGATTGATTCCGTTAAAATTATCTTTGTTTCTGTTAGATCTTTGAATTATATTTATTT